TCTTTTTTTTTTTTTTTTTTTTAGTTTTGTAATTTTTTTTTAGGTTCATGGGCCGAAAATGGCTCGTGACATGGGCGGCTCGGGCTCGAGCTGACGCCCCAAAAATGAGGCTCAGCCCGAGTTGGCGAGGCTAGAGCTTTTTCCTGGCCAAGCCATTGGCCGGCCGAGTTGACGAGCCATATTGACATCCCAAGGTGAGAGCTAAAAAATCTAAAGTTTCATTTTATTTTAGAACAATAAATTACTTTTTTGGTAACTTTGCTGTAGAACTTCTTGTGACCATTATGAATCATCTCAATAAAATTTTACACATCATATAGTAGTTCTTTCTTCTTGTCTCTGTCTAGCTGTTGCTTCTGTTGAGAACGAAAATGATTTCGGATTGCTCTAATGTAACTTTATTGAAGGAAATACGAGATTATAGGCACAAAATAAAGTATTTGATCACAAGAGCAAAATAATTTGCAGACAATTGAGATTTTATTAAAATATGATGAAAGAATACAAATATTTTAGATTTACGATTTGTCTAATTTAATTTAAAACACAATAAAAAGTTAAAATATATATAAGGCATCCAAGACCCTAAAAGTAGAGTTATAGGAGGAAATGAAAGCTCAAATGCAAAAATGGGCTTCGACCGGATAATCACGCTGCTCAAGCGCTAGGCGAGCACCCGTTTTGCAGCTCGAGCGTCGGGCGTGCACCAAGTGGGGGCTAAGTCTGTTGAAAATTTGGCAATGTTGCTCGAGAGCCAAGCTAGCAACCGCTAGCTAAATTGCAGCGATGAGGATGAGGATCGGGTTCTTGCCATTTATAAAGAGTCATTGGTGATATAAATCGTCATAGTTGGGACGTTTTTAGTGGGGAAATGAAAGGTGTAAGTTTCACTTATGTTGAGAATTCAAAGCAAGAAAAACCATTTTCATCTCTAATTTCTCTCAATTTTCAGCCATCACCACGTCTTTTTCACTCTCTTTGCCTTCCTTTTTTTACATTCCAAAGCACACAATTCGCGCACTAAATAATGTTGAAGGCATTATATGTAGCAACCTTTAGATAAGCTTTTGTAATATCAAGAATATCATTAAACTAAACTTGAATTCAGATCCTTTTTAGGCCAACAAATCAAGTGCGTTTTCAAACTAGTAAAATTGTGTTACAAAATGAGATAAATAGTAAAATCACATAATTAATTTTGCATTTGCAAGGTTTCTGAAAATAACAACAAATACATGAAATTATTGTTAGCCCCTAGAATCTTCCCAAACAATCTACCAAAACCTTCTTTGATTTCAACTTGCAGAAGCTACATCAGCGGTTGATTGGAGTATACATCCTTTCAACTATTCTATTTACAGCATCACGGGACATTACGAGTGTGTCATGCAGCAAGATGCTGTAAACGTTTAAACCCTGTAAAATAAAACCCGAACAGATGATTATTTGTTGAATTAGCACATAGACTATGATCATGTAACATGCTGATAACGAGTGTGGAAAGGCAAGGTTTACAAGATCAGTGATGAAAAGGCAATGGCACTGTAAGTGTAAAGAACAGTTTTGAGTGAATCATGTCAGAAAACCATGGACCCAACAGCAATCATGTGCTTGTTCATCTGTATGCATAACTGAGTCCTCTCATAAACTGAACAGCACTTTAGTCTAATTAATCAGTCACTATTAATGGATTATCTTACTACATCACCAAAAGTCAGGACACTGTCAGACCCTCCAATTGCCACCAAAGTGAAGCCAGGATGGAAAGAGAGAGAGAAAACAGACCAGCCCACACATATGGCCAACACGAATGAATACTTAGACATACAAAGTACGATACTTACAATTGAAGGCAGAACGTTCACATAATGTAGATTTTGAGTAGCCAACTTCAGCTTTTCATCAATCAGACCACCATCAATCATCAGAAGTTTCTTGGTATTCTCCATTTGACTGACATAGTTCACAATGTTCTTTGTCTTGTGTGAAGGGAGCTGAAAATCCTCAAAAACCATAAGCTGCATATTTGACAGTCTTAATTAGATATAAGTTTGAAATAAAACTAATCTCATTTACAAGAGAATACTTCATAATTATATAATAGATGGCACTAAAAACCTCTGCCCCCTAACATGAGAAATTATGGAAATAGCATATTGCAGAACACATAACAAGAGAGTTCACAATGGACAAGACATTAGTATTAGTAATAAGCAAAAATTTACACTAGCAAATCAAACTTCAACAGTACGAGTGATGACAAAAATTTATGATCGTAAAAAGCTCAACTTACATGAGAAATTTCAGGTTGATTAAAGAGATGCTAAATGATTCTGTGGTAAACTTATAACATGTTTGGTACATATCGCATATGACACGATGGTACAATAAACAAGTTTTCAGTTTTTCATTTTTTTCTTCCTTAAGATTGTTAAAGTACTATTCAATCTTCCCAACCAAACATGCCATTATGGTAAGAAAACTGGCAAGGATGGTGTGTGTGGGGGTGGGGGGATTGGCATTTAATTAAGTCAATACCCTTGGAATAAATTATTCTTAGGTTTTCTTTTAAGCGAGGTTGAACAAAAATCTCTAGCAAGACTACAACAAAAGGTTCACGGCAAGCCAGAGATCATGAAGATGAAAAACAGTACTACCACCAGCATGTCCAATCATCTAAATTTTGGTAAATGTTCTGCATTTATTAGGTGTCGACTATTGAGAATAATAAATAATAATAAAATGAGCTCCAGATATTATACAGAAGCTTTCCCATATATGACTTGACACCTCAAGTCCCACTGGTAAGAGTTCAGCCATACACTTCATTTTCCAGATCTGTAATACAGAAATTCGTTTTAAAGAAACTCATTGGCTTGGACACAGAACTTTTGTATTAAAATGAGACAGTACAAGCATAACAGACAATCTAAACAAATATCATAAGGGTTTTATGAGCCCCATTTTTTAGGAGAACAGATTTTGTAATAGTGATTGTTTGGAGAATGAAATAGTTTGGGTTTACATGTAATTATTTTATTGGAAGAATGAGAGATTGAAAATGAGTTCTAGTAAAAATGTATTTTTAAAGAATGGAGCATAAGCAGGGGCTAAATATAATGTCAATCATATTTAATTTAGCTTGTTGCCTTGCAGTTGGACAGGGAAAAAGAAAAGCACAGATGGTACTGCAGAACTAAAATATCAAGCAGACAGTTCATTTAAACTTTATGAAACTCATGTGCAAGGGGAGGTATAATCTCAAGTTTCTGTAAACAGGAAACATGTATTCCTTCCCAAAAGACCTCATCATTAAAACAAACAGACATCATCTTACATGAATCACCCACATCCCAAGAGAACTATTGCCAGTGCATAATGCATAATTCGTACTCCTAGAATATTAGTGATGCGAGCTACATCTGTTCATCTCAATTTTTTATTTTCTTTTAGACCCAGGGAGGGAAGATGACTTGCCTTCCCTTCTGCTGCACGAGCTGACAGAGCAATCTTCAGTCCCAACCGCCTCACCTTCTTGTTCAGCTTGATGGCATGACTTCGCGGCTTTGGACCATGCATAACAGCACCACCCCTAAACTGTTGACCATTAAGTAAATCTATTAATGCTCAATTTGGAGCTTAAATGCATAATAATGCAAACCATTAGTTTGCATGCAAGACATGACCTGAGGACCACGCAGCGTTCCATGCCTTGCTCGACCAGTGCCCTTCTGCTTCCATGGTTTTCTCCCAGTCCCACTGACCTCACTAACAGTTTTTGTTGAATGGGTACCCTGAGGAGCATTCACACCACAACTCTCAGATATAATAACCACCAAAAATTGGTGAAGAGAACATAGCAGTATCAGAAAATAGAAAACATGTTCTACTAGAACATACTGACAGCTGCTAACAGGCTGAATCAATCAATGAAGACATGACAAAAACATTTATATATGTGATTTCCGAACCATACAAGTTAGCATCAATTACACTCAACCAACCAGCTGAAGAATGTCACACCTGCTGCCTTTTAG